GTATAATTGGAAGCTGATATAAGTGAAAATTCGGATACAGTAGAACCTCCCTTTAGCGGGCACCTCCCTACAAAGGACAGTTTTAATTCGCAAAATTACCATTTTTACTATTTAGCAACTCTCCGGTAAGAGGACACCTCTCCCTAAAGGACAGTTTGGTACTGCAATTAAGTGTCCTTTACAGGGAGGGTCTACTGTAATTGGAAATTCGCATAATTGTCGGGTCAGATAATTAAAAGTTCGAATACTTGAAAGTTGTTATAATTGAAGTTCGGAAGTTAGAAAATTCGTATAATAAGGTAATCGGATACTTAAAAAACTCTCTCTGAGATAATTTGAAATTTGAATATTCTCTTCGAAGTTAGGTTTTGATTAAGGAATATTGGAGGCAAATTGGTTCATTTTTAAGTGCAAATATGTAGGAATTATTTCGAAAAACAAATGAAACATTCCGAAGCTTTTTCCCGTTTGGAATTCCAACATTTTTCCGTTCGAATTTTTATAATGCCCAGTTTACAACGAACCATGGATATTTTAGGGGATTTTTTATCAAAAATTGGAGCGGTTGAAGACTCTAGCTGTTATTGTGGCAACGAATTCCAGGACTCGAGACACCTACTGCTGGAATGCCCACTCTTTTCTAGCGATAGACAACAGACAATAAATAATGTTGTATATCTATATCAATTTGTAAATAGCAGAGAGAATTATCATAGATTTAACTATCTTTGTAAATATATTTGTGATTAACTTTCTAACCTGAAAAGTTCAGGTTCCTAATATATATTGTTGTTTCTCTTTTTTTTTTTTAAATTACTTTTCTTGTATAAAATGTTTATGGCTGTTTCTGTTTTTTTTTTTTTTTTTTAATGTAAATCGACGCAATTTTCCCTGGCCGGGATATCGCGTTTTGTGCGTTAAAATAAAATAAAATTAAGGAATATTTATATCATAGAAGTTATTATACTTACTGTAAACTCGGGAACCCGAATTAGAAACTCATATCCAAATACCACCTCACTGTAAAACCACAAGGTTGTAGTTAAACATAGGTACCTCAGAAATAGAAGATACTTACTTGCATTCTACCTTGCAGTTAATATTGCAAACTTCAGTGTCGAGGGTATCCAGACATTCAACGTTAGCTGCACATAACGCATAATTAACATATGAACAATATTTAAGAAGAAAGTCTTTGATATCGTCGGTTGTCTGTCTTTTAAGGAGATAGAGGCAATTTTATTCACACTTGGTTATATCGTGTCTTCAATAAAAGTCACTGTGTATCAAGTAGCTTTCAGAGTTATTGTCTGAATCCCGATATACATGCTAAAAAGTACAAACTCCTTAAGTTTTGTCTATGAATTTAGGTGTTTGCCTAAATATATTGTATTCATTGTCTTGTAAATTTACTTTCACTAGCCGAATGACCCGGGCAACGCCCGTGTTTTACACGATTGTGTGAATGTTTCGATTCAAATACTATTTGTTACAATTATAAATTGGCGCCTTAAATAAATGCATATATTAGTTAATAACTATAGCCTATGTGCTTTATCTGTCTATGTACTGTTGGCTTCCGTAGGCGTCTCTTACTGGTAAAAAGAAAGAGAGGATTCCATTTAGTTATTAACTAATATATGCATTTATTTAAGGAGCGACCCGCTCCAACACAATAGTTACAAAAACCAAAAAGCGAGTGGGGGGGGGGGGGGGGGGGGGCAAAGTCAAAAACAAAGTGCCTCGCGTAGTGGCGGCGCCATCGTAGCCACGTGATCGTAGCCAACCAATAGGAGAGCGCCATTTCAAAGAAAAAGCAAACGGTGACAGAGATGACGCATGACGCTCGTAACTGTATATAGAATATGTAATTTTTAGTTAAACTCTTTTTTTATTATTATTCACGATTTTGAACTATTTAATAATATGAGATAATATATTCACAATGATTTACATTGTCATATGTAGAAAAGTTACGAAAAACTCAATATGACAAGTCAAATTATAATTTTGAACAGAACAAATATTTTCATCGTTATTCTTCATTTAGCTAATCCAGTAGGTTCTTGAAGATGTCGTCAATTACTCGGATTGTCCTTCAGACCCAAGTCTTTTTGTTTTATTCACAAGGTGAGTGAAGAACCAATTCACGAGGAAGGGCCAAGGGAATTTATTTTCTTGGAATATTTTATAGGGATTTTATAATTAACGAATGAATATATTAAGGCGCGAATGTTTCCCATCACAAATAAATCAAACTTCTACTGTCCTTACTGCGATGTAAAAATATTGGGGGGGCTTGGCTCCCAGGAACCCTCCCAGCGGTTTCGCCAATTTAATCTACTAAACCGCTTCTTTAGAGCTCTAATATTGTATTGGATCATTCTGCTTTTATATGCTACACTGAAGGGTGGAATCTTAGAAATGTTATTTAAGCAAACTATGGACATAAGCCTATAGGACAGTAGAATTACATTCAAATATTTGCATCGCGCAATGCTCTTCCCCAAACAATAAGGACATGTTAGACATAAATTATTGCAAAGCAATAACTCGCCATCTATAATTAACGAATGAAAACATTAAGACGCGAATTTCCCCATCACAAATAAATCAAACTTCTAATGTCCTTACTGCGATGAAAAAACATTGGGAGGGCTGGGCTCATCAGTGGTGAACCCAGTGGTGAATTGCAGAAATTCGTTTTATATATGATTGAATGAAATAACACTGATAAATTCTTTATTCAACATTCTTTATTCAAAAATACCATAATTAATACATGCAATGTAAGAACTTCAAATACTAAAGAAATTCTCAAAATATTTAATATATTTTAACACTCACACTATATTTTTATTTAAAAATAATAAGGTTAATATTTTTATATGTAAATAAAATATTATAAAGCACATTAAAAATAATAATAATAATGAAACATATTCCGAAGTTATATAGAGAAAACAATATTAGTTACAAATATTGTCAATAGATGGCGTAACAAGTTAATCCCTTTCATATTTATTGCACTAATTGCTTGTGAACGATATAAAATAGAAACTTTTTTTATAGAATTAATTTTTATATATTTATTTAAAACACGTATTTTTCATTTTGTTATAAAGATTGATTTCCAATTTATTAAATGTTCAGCTAAATATGTAGAATTTGTTGAAATTAATACAAAATGATGGTACATTATAATTTGATATTTCTCAAGGTTTTTGATAGGTGTCAACACATTTTCCCTTTTTATTACCTTTGTACATAATACTTCCTGATGTATAATGCAATGCGTATGATGAATATTGGAACCATCAGAAATTTCACTTAGTTTTTTTCGCAGTAATGCTACGAAACCGTTGGTTTTTCCAGTCATTGAAGGAGCTCTATATAGACTTTTAGAAAGAAAGTTTAGAATTTAATAACGTTATAATAGCTTAGTATAAAACATTTTATAGAGATTAATAACACACATTCAGAAAAAGGCATCTCCTTATCGTGCAACTGAACTTAAGTTTCGCGATAAGGAGATGCCTTATCCCAGTAAAATTTTACATTTGTACTATTTTTTCACACATAAAAAAAGAAATCAGTTTTTTTTATAATATAATTTTTGAATGTTTTAAGTTTTTCATATTGAAACTATTTATTTATAATTTTTAATATATATATTTTTTATTCCTTAAAAATTGATTTAAATTTAACATGCTCAAAACTGGCCAACTCTGTGCTTCACTTCCATCAATAATTGACAATATGACCCAGAATAAGTATATTGCTATGGCGTTTTATGGTTTCCACAAGTCCATATCTCAGAAGAAGGCCAAGTGACACTCACTCCTCACTTTCTTACTGCTACTCTTTTTGTGTTGTTTTTCTTGCTTCCCTCTTTCTCTTTCTTGTTTTTTTTATTTTTCTTCTGTATATATCGTTATTTCCTTTGTCTCACTGCTTTGTTCTTATGCATACCTCTGGTGAATCCTGTATAGGGTCAGTGACCCTAAATAAAGGCTTTTTGTTGTTGTTATTGATTTCAATTTAACACAGATGATATAGCAACTTTATTTTGAATGTAAGTAATTTGATTTTGACGTGATCTTCATTTAATGTTGCAATATTATTTATAAATATGAAAAAAAAAAGTACAAAAGTGAAATAGTACTGGGATAAGGTGGATAAATTAATAGAAAGGTATCTACTGATTGTGCAACTGAAAGTTGCTGATGGCTTGCACCATCTATCAAAATAAATATCAACTAATTGTTGATAATCGTTGGTTATAGAAAAATAAAAATTAACGATAAGTTGGGTTTTTCCGACAGATGGCGCAAGCCATCAACAACTTTTAGAAGCAGGATCGGCAGATAAAAAGTCGGTGGATGAGAGGGTAACACGCTCGATTCCCGACAGTCATGAACCGGGATTGAATCCCGCGTTAAAATTTGTTTAATATGTGAATAACCTTCACATATTATTCATTGTTCAATTATCATGAACTAGGTTGCTCTTGCTGAGCGGTACCTATTAATGTGATTTGAACCAGGATCAGCAGATGTCTTTCTCTTTATAATTTAGATAGAATATCCCGGTACAGTAGAACCTCCCTGTAAAAGACACCTAATTGAAGAGCCAAAATGTCCTTTAGGGAGAAGTGTCATCTTACCGGAAAGTTGCTAAATTGTAAAAATGGTAATTTGCAAATGAAAACTGTCCTTTGTAGAGAGGTATACGTTAGCGGGCTGTCCGCTATAGGGAGGGTTCTACTTTATTATTATTTTAAACTTTTGATAAATCTATTCCCACCCGATTTTAGTCAAACTCACTCTGTTGATGAATTTTGTGTATTGTAAAACGACATTTGAAAATTATTCCGCATGTTTTTATTTTGAATGCAAAATCTAAATTTAATTCAAGGAGAAATAACGACCATTTATAACCTTAGGGATGAGGTATGAAAGGATGAATTGTGAAGAGTAATGATAAACGGAAAATAAAAGTGTCCAGGGATGGGAATCGAACCCACAGTGTTCTGCTTACCGGGCAGATGCCATGTCCACTAATGTTGTGTATGGTACTGGTTACTAGACAGTCTTAGCTAACCAGCATATCTGATCCCATCAAAGAATCCGCATGGTTGGTTTCGGTTTTCCTTCAGAACAGTTTGATATTTTGGTGTGGAAATTGTTATAATAATCATTACACTTTATAGATTGCTCTTCGTTGGAAAATGGGTGCCGTTGCCGCGTTAGTCACCTTGGAAACGAACCAGAATTTGGTCGAATATTCCAAGGGTCCAGGGGGGACCGCAGGGAGGTGTGGTCGGACTTCTCCGCCCCTTTACTTTAGGAAAGCCGACTGGAAAAAATCACAGAAAAGCTCGAATAACTGTGCAACGAAGAATCAAATTACAGAACGCTTGACAAAAACTTGGAAAAATTTTCTTCGAACATATCCAAAGCTATAAAAGCATCGATACCTAGAGGTAGACGTAAAGACCTGTGTATACCTTTCTGGAAGGACCACAACATCGAGGCAATGATTGCAGAGAGAGACAATATCAATGAACTTCTCAAAACAAATAAAACAGAAGAAAACAGAAAGGAACTCATTGAAATTAGTCACAAAATAGAACAAGAAATGTAGATATTCAAACAAGAGAGAGAGAAAAATGGCAGAATTCTGCGAAAAATGGATCCAAGAAAGGACAGCCAACACTGAAATGTGATTAGAGTGTTAGAAAACAATCAAAACCAACACCAATCCTTCAATTCTCTAACCGATTTGAATAGAACAGCGAGAACGAACAAACAGATGGCTGACATAATTGCCGAATATCTTTCAAGCACTTCCAGACTCAACTGCACGAATGAAGACAAGATTCTAAAAAATAATATAAACAGGTTAGTTAAAAAAGCAAGAAATTACCATCAACAAGATATTTTTTCGAGAGACTTCACACTGATTGAGCTAAACTCATCAATAGAAAAGTTAGATCCCAAGAGGTCACCAGGAGATTAACTAATCTTTGGTCAAATGATTAAACACTTTGGAGACAAAGCTAAAAATCAACTCCTACGAATACTGAACATTCCATGGCAAACTGTTAAGCTACCAAAGAATTGGAAGATATCAATTATAGTGCCAATACTGAAACCAAATAAAGATGCCAAGGAATGCAAGAACTATCGGCCAATTGCTCTCACCAGCATACTATGTAAAATAACAGAACGAATTATCCACTCTAGGCTCATAGTCTGGCTCACCAAAAATAACAAAATAAACTTCTACCAAACTGCCTATAGATCCCAGCACTGTACAACTGATCAACTGTTCTACTTCTGCCAATCAATAATAGATTCTTTCCAGGAAAAACCAACAAAGAAGACAACGGCCGTATTCCTGGATATGACCTCAGCTTTTGATCGAGTATGGAGGGAGAAATTACTTGAAAGGCTGCACAACATCGGAGTAAGAGGAAAAACCTTAATCTGGATTGCAGACTTCTTAAGGGGAAGAATGATAAAGGTTCGGGTTAATGGAGCATTTTCCAAGGACAGAAGAACATGGGCTGGTATACCTCGGGGATCTGTGCTCAGTTCTCTACTCTTCCTGCTATATATTAACGACATCCATCCTTACCTCACTGAATACACAAAGGTGCCTGTTATGCAGATGATATAGCCATATGGCACACAAGTAGCATTATAGAAAAATCAGAAAAAATATTGAACACCTCAATGAGAGGACTGGAGAAGTGGGCAATGGAACTCAAAATGACAATAAACTCAATAAAAACAAACTTATGCGTCTTCTCCACTGACAGGAAAAACAGGCATAAATTTAATCCCAAAATAAGCATAAACAACTAAATAATTGATAAAATTAGAAATCCAAAATACCTAGGTGTGATACTTGATGAGGAATTGCGATTTACAGAACACATAATTAGCACCTTAAATAGAGCTACCAGAAAACTAAATATTCTGAGAAGGTTATGTGGAACAAATTGGGGAGCAAAACCCAAAACCCTCAGAACAACATATACTACCTTAATAAGGCCAATAATGGAATATGAAACACCTGTTTGGGCTCCCTCAAGCTCATCATCAAAAGGAAGACTAGACAGTGTTCAAGCAAAAGCGGCCAAAATAATCACTGGTGCTGTTTCATCCACCAACAATGAGAAAATTCAGAGAGAATGTGGTCTAGACCTACTCAAAAGCAGAAGACGATTAAAAACAATAAAATTCACCAATATCCTAAAAAGTAAAAAAAAAAACGAACACATATCCCATAGAACCCATTTAAACTTGGCACAAAAAGAAAGACTTAAAAGATCTTCAACACTTCAGTACGACAACAATATTAGAAAGTGCATAAACATGAAACACAATGACTTTCAAATTCAAGAAGAACCAACATTTCCTACCCCATTACCATCAAATATAATCATCAATCTCAACCTGAATGAACCCTGCAATAAAAAAGAGAACAAAATCATACTTAAAAAGAAAGGACTTGACACAATTAAATTATATGATCAGAGAAATTATTTATTAGCATACACAGATGGATCATCAGACCTTACCCTGAGTAATGGAAGGGCCGTAATTAACATAATACTCCCCAAGATGGAACACACATCAAAATCAAAGAAGGAGCAGGACAGATTTCGTCAAACTTCACTTGTGAACTGACATCTATCTGGAAAGCCCTTGATGTATGCCTTAACCAACCTTCCCTGCATCAAGCAGAAGGAATCATAATATACAGCGACTCCATATCCGCTCTAGAAGCAATTCAGAAGGGCAATACTAGAATCACGCAGAAAATACACTCATTACTTACCCAACTGGAAACATTGGAGAACTGCTTTCTACAATGGATTCCTGCCCATGTTGGGATCGAGGGTAATGAAATGGCAGATGAATTGGCAAAGGAAGCCAGAAAGCTGAGCCAAAGGAAAGAACAAATGTCAGTATTTGACGCTGACGCTTTGGCAAAATACAAGATAATTAAACAAAAAATAAGAAAAGATCAAATATGTGAAATAAACTCTGAGAGAAAACCGACAAAAAATATAACAAGACTTAGAACAAAACACTGAAATGGCAATACATCCAGATGACACAAGAACCTATAGAGCATGCAACAACTGTCCTGGTGTGGAACTAACACCTACTCACATATTCTCATGCCCAGCAATGGCCGCAGCCTTGCAGAAAATTGACTTAGACCCAGAGCAGCAGCTTTACACACCCAATATAGTGGATATTGCTGCTGCTGTGTTGGAGATGCATGGAGACATCTGAGACTCTTCTTTGGACACGACAACAACAACAACAACCTTATAGATTCCTCAGTTCTTTTCAAGATTTGAGAAGATAGGCTTTATAACACACATATCAAGTGAAAAGAAGAAATCAAATAAATCTCTAACTATATACAATATTATTCTGAAGATAGAGGTCGCCTGGCCGGCATTCATATTTCTATGAAAAATAGACATTTCGGCCAGTTAGAGTTTTTATTTTTCTCAACGTTTCGACAAAAATCTTTCAAAAATTGTTCTGAGGTTGTAAGGGCGTTCTCAGAAAACTCAGAGAACGCCCTTGCAACCTCAGAACAATTTTTAACGCCTTGCCAAATGCTTTATTTTTATTTACTTCTCCTGACGAAGACAAAAGATTTTTGTCGAAACGTTGAGAAATAAAAAAGCTCGAACTGGCCGAAGTGTCTATTTTTCATAGAAATATATACAATATTGTTGCATATTATATATTATTCTATAAAAATATTCCTAATTTCGATATTTTTATTTTGATGCACTGTAAAATTTCCTCATTGACATCTAGCTCTTCCACTGACATTGTAAATGAAACCAAGAAGATGTCAGCCAGGGTGACTTCTGTACGTGGCTCCTTAGTTAACTGAATATATAATTTGTTTTACTTTGGTTTTACATTAAATAAATTGCCGTAAATAAATATATATTATCAAATAAGATTTTCTGCTGATTTTTGATTATTTTGAAGATTATGCTATGGTAATGCAGTCGTGGTCAAAATCATAAGCGTATAATAATAAAAATAGTGAAGATTATAAATAGCTTTAATTGAGCTTATGGAATATAGAAAACATAATTTGATAAAAGTACTGCCTGGCTTAAGGCGCAAGAATGAAAAAAGAAAAGACTTATTTACATAATTTACAAACGGTTTGAGCCGGCCATCGGGAAACAACAACAATAGGCTATATAAAGGGAAGTCGCGATATCTGGTGGTATACTTAACAGAATATTTGAATCTATTAAATATAATTTTAAATAAAATAAATATTTTATATAAAATATATATATTAAAAATAAAAAGGCATATCCTGACTAGGAGCACATGCGCTTTTCAGAAGACAGAGCGCCATCTGGTGGAACAGAAATCAACTATTAACCTGTTAAAATTAATCAAATATTAACCTGTTCCCTGATATTTGGCCAACCCAATGATAAATCTAATATCGAGGAACAGGTTAAATCAATGAATAGTTTATTTCTGTTCCACCAGATGGCGCTCTGCCTTCTGAAAAGCACATGTGCTTCTGGTCAGGATATGCCTTTTTTATTTTTAATATCAACACCTGACCTTTTTATTATTATTTTTTATTGTCTTTCATATATATGTCATAATTTGTACATAACTGGATGCAAACCCGACCCAATATGTATGCAATGTATGTTTCAAAAGATTTAATAAAGACAAGGCTTAAGAAATCTGGGAGAGAAGGCCTACAAGAGGAAGCAATCATTAGCAGGGTTTATTATCCCGGAACTCATAAAACTGAGTTCAAGAACCTAGCACTTCCTGGTCAGGTTAGGACAAGTCCAAAGGACAAAGAATTAGCAAAGACCAATCAGGGAGCAGATCATTAACCAAGAACCTATAGCGAGATTACACGTCACGAACGATCAGCCAATGAGAAACGAAAAGAGTTTTCTTCTTAAATCGGGAACGCAGAATAGTTAGTTAGCCCTGGGACAGCATCGAGTTAGGAGCTCGGCACCATCGCAACAAGTTGGGAGCTGGACAGCACC